AAGAAAGAAAGAAAGAAAGAAAGAAAGAAAGAAAGAAAGAAAGAAAGGAGACTCATGCTGTCTAATTCAACAAAAGAAAAAGAAAGAGGCAGGGGGCTGGAGAGATGGCTCAGAGGTTAAGAGAACTGGCTGCACTTCTGAAGGTCGTGAGTTCAATTCCCAGCAACCACATAGTGGCTCACAACCATCTATAATCTGGTGACCTCTTCTGGTGTGCAGAACACTGTATACATAATAAGTAAATAAGTAAACAAGGAAACCTGTAGCATCTGTGGATAGGATAAAAAGTCAGAGAATATGCATATACCTACACTCACATGACCACATGTATACACACCACACATGGAAAGAGTTCACACATAACATGAATGCTTGAGGAACCAACCAGAAAGATGTAGTGTAAAGAGAAGGTCCTTTACAGCCAGATCTGTCTCCAGCCCAAGCCCCATGCTTCACGTTCATTTTTTCTGAAGAAAAATAGTCATAATCACATCATAAGACCACCATGAGGCACAAATAAAATGCAATACACAAGTCTGAGAAGAAAGCTCAGTAGATACAGCTCTTGTCCTGCTAGCATGAGGAGCAGAGATCAGATCTGTTATCTGAGATCTACTTAAAAGCTGAGCTGGTTTGGTGGTAGCCTGGGATCCCAGAACTTGGGAATCAGAGACAGGGCATCCCCAGAGCAAGCTAGCTAGCTAGACTAACCAGAACCAGCTGGCTCCAAGTTCAGTAAAAAAAGAGACAATGCCAGCTTAAAGCCCTGTACACGCTCCTGCACATACTCATATACACACCCATACATATGTGCCCACACCCACACTTACACACATGTACACACATGCACACACAAAAGGTACAAGGTGCTAAAATACTTCCCACAGTATTGTCTGACAAATAGAGCACAATAAATACCAGCCTCTTTCTTGCTCCCTCCCTCTTTCTCTCTCCTTCTCTGTCTTTTTAAGGCTTTTTCCTTTCCATTTTATGGATGTAAATGAGAATTCTTGCAGCAGTTAAAAAAAAAAGAGTTCCTACATATTATATAGTCATTTACATATATGAATCTGTTGCTGCACCATAATTTGCAAATAAAGGAAGTAGCAATTTTAACAGAAAAGTACCAGATCACTTGCATTTCCTGCTAACACCTCTAGCTTTACAGTCTATAAGGACTATTTGTTCTTGGGGTGCAGATTCTGAAATAAAGGAAAATTCTCGTGGGAAAAACCACCCCCCCCCCAAAAAAAAGAACAGCCAACAAAGAAAAGATAGCGAGGGAAAATCTAGGGGTATATAAAGGAGTTTATTTTACTTAACAAAGTAAAAGTCAGCAAAATGAATAATCTGCCTCCAGAAATGGTTATTTAAAGGCTTTTTGTAAAGGGCTCTGGTTCCTAAAAAGACAGGAGTCACTGCATATGCCCACCCACTCTTCATTTATTTTTAAACTCTAGCTTATATGTTCCTTAGCAACAAGAGGAGCAGATGAGACCCCCCTACACACACACTCCTCCAAAGCCCCCTTCTTTCACACCAACTTCTAATTTACAAATATTCATGCTCTTCAAGACATTTCCACCTGCCTGCATGACTCCACTTCACCACCTCAAATGATCCCCTACATGGAAGCTGCACCTCCTACTCTAGCTACACATTTCTGCATAGAACTTGTTCCCTGGGGCTTTCTTGACTCCTCTCCATTAACTCTCATCAGTCCATCCTAAGCTGTGCCCAGAATCCTCAGTATCAGATAGAGTAGGGTAGCCCCTTAGTTGCTAACACCAAACTTCACCCCAAATTTTTTCTTCCTTACAGCTCTGTCATGAGCTTTTCATCAGAACCATGAGGTCCAGCTCCACCTCTGAGCCCAACACAAAGGGCCACCATGGCAAACAGGAAAACCATTTGCTATGACTCTAAAAATAAATAAATAGCAGTAACCAAATTACAGAAGTTACCCAGGATAAACACATGCCAAATGAGATCACTACTCACTGCCCTTCTTGCCTTTGGGACTGTCTGGCTTGGTTTAGCTGGGCAATTTATGAGTTCAAGGGTCAATCATTGAACCTTTGAAATAGCAATTTTCAAGTGTTGGTTTGTAAGCATCTCCTGAGGAGTGTGACATCCATCCTCCCCCACAGAGAGTGAAGGCTGCACACCTGGGGATAGCAGGTAGCCTTACCAGACACCTGAGGGGCCACGTGCGCCAAGTGTCACTGGCTTGGAAACTGTGAAGCTTCATTTGAAAAGAAACAGCATCCAAGAAATAAAACCCGCCACTGTGGGTTTCAAGGCAGGCCAGTATCATGTACTATTCATCTCTTGCAAAATGCTGCCATTTCCATGTCTGTGTCTGTGTGTGTACACTCTTCCACGTGCCTGTGGGAACATGCCATCCAGAAAGCTGCAGCCCCAACAGCATGCTTCTCCAGCAGAGAGGCTCAGAGAATGACCCCTGCCAAGAGGCAAGCTCAAGTGATTTCCCTTGCAAATTCTGGCTTCACAGTCCTACCCAAAGAGGAATCTCATGAATACCAATGACCCAGGAGTCTCTCTTAGCCCAGAAGCCCAGACCCACAATGTATTCCACATAATAACACCCCCTCAAAGTACAGCTCCTAAATTAGGCTGGATATAGTCCCTGTTCCCCTAAGAGCCAGACAGACCATCATAAGTAGAACTGCCTGTGTCCTAGCATACCTCCCTAGAGCTACCCCACTCCCCACCACCTGCCTATTTTTAGAAACTGAAAATATAAAAAGAAAGATCCATTTGGATCTGATCTGTGTGAGTAACTAAGAGAACAACTCAGGTGGGAAACTCCCTCTGCGCAGAAGAACAAAATGCAAGCAAGGGATGCAGCAGCAACCACCTGGCTGTGAAGACCACTTAGGAATCAGCAGAAAACGGCATTTAGACCCAGAGCACATGCCCTGGTGACTGGGCCTCCAGTCCAGGCAATGCCTGTGGGGATCCCAATGATTCACGCACCTGCCCCCGTAAACAGAGCACACCCTCACAACCCACACACCTATGTCATCTGCTCTTGCTTACATAACAGCACATGGTGTGACAGGCTTAATACTTTAGATGGTTTTTCCAGAAGGGACTGCCAGCCCAAAAGGAGGAGGGCTACAAAGATGCTTTCACTGACCCCTTTTCAAGTGCAACCCTTCATAAATCTACGCTTGATTATTGCCTCAACTTTTATAAATCACCAGTGAGGCTAGTCTTGGCACCTTCTCTTTTGCCTGGGAATGGGAGAGGAGTGTAGGGAACCTATTAAATTCTCACTTTGGTTTGCACCCTGACACAATTTGGACATCTGTAAACATAACTGGGTGGACATGCAGCCTACACTGTCCTTGTGTCACAAACACATCCATGTTCAGGTGCAAGTGTGCTCTCTCCTCACCCTCAGCCGTGGCCTGGGAGTAGGCTGCCCACATCCTCCTCTGAAGACGCTGAGACAGGGAGAGAGCACATGTGCACAGAGCACCCACACCCACTGACAGACCTACAAGACGGCACGCACGTCTCGCTGCTCCTTAACAGAGGACTTCAAGACAAGAACTTCCATGAGGATTCTTTTCTATAGGTTGCTCTTTCCTGCCTGTCAGAACAGATCTCAGCCATCCAGTCAGTGCCCAAGGCTCACCCGGTGAACTCTGTAAGGCAGGCGAAGTGCTGGAAATGACACTAACCTAGGGGCAACTTTGGCGACTTGTCTTTAAACTGGGCATGTCTGGGTCTGCACCCCATACACTCACAGATGTGGTTTTGATCTGGTTCTGACCTTAGTGTTCTCTTCTGTTACAAAAGCACCCCTCCCTGGGTGTTACAGAGAGAAGCTTGGGGTACTCCACTTCTTCCCTTTAACCCAGAATTAAAGGATGAGAACAGCATATCCCCCGGAGAGAGGAGAGGGAGAGACAGACAAACCTTTAAAAAGAGAAAGAGGGAGGGGGAGAGGCAAAGACGAGAGAGAGAGAGAGAGAGAGAGAGAGAGAGAGAGAGAGACAGAGAGAGACAGAGAGAGAGACAGAGAGAGAGAGACAGAGACAGCGAGACAGAGAACACCCCAACTCCACAGAAGTGCCTCTCTGGAGCGAGAGCAAGTGTCCCCCGCCCTGGGCGGCACCTGTCTCACTAGCTCCGCGCCTACCTGTAAGAGACCTGCTTCCGGAAAGTTAAGTCCCTCAGCTTCTCCTCCAGAGCCTCTTCCTTCTCTTTCTGTCCGGCGACAGCGGGCTCCTCCAGGGCAGCAGCCGCCGCTGCCCCTGAGCCCCGCGGGTCCGCGCCGCCCTCGGCGCCCAGGCAGCAGCTCCCGGCGCCGCTTCCGCTGCTGCTGCTGCCGCCCGTCGCCCCTTTCTCCTCTCCCGCGAAGGAGCTGGGGTTCATGGCGACCGCTCCGGCGGCCGCGGAGGGAGCCGAGGCGGTGCCGCTGCAGAGGCCGGGCGGGCTGAGGGCGCTGGAGGCGGCGGGAGCGCGGGCAGGTCCGCGCGCCGCTGGCAGGGGCAGCAAATGGCAGCCCCTTCCCGCAGCATCCATCCGCGGCTGCACCGCACCGGGGCATTGTGGGAAACTCCGTGCCTCCACTCCCCCTCCCCAACCAATCAGAGGCCACCTCTCTCCGCCTCCCCTCGGCCTCGCCCGACCAGCCGGCTCCCTCCAATTCTCCCACCCCCTCTCTTTTTTCTCAACCCAGAGCAAAAGCCGAGGGTGAACTTGAACTCGGCCTGCAGGCAATGGACCGCTGTGGAGGAGAGAGGGGAAGGGTGGCGAGCCGCGGGGCTTGGGACGCTGGGGACGAATACTGGCCATTAGGAAAGGAGAGTGTCCGGGGAAACTTGGAGACAAGCCTCCCTGCCGCGCCCTGGTTAGTGCACAAGGGAATCGACCCGGATCCGGGAGCTACTCGCCCTAGCAGTAGCTGGTGAGCTGCTGGGCACGGCTTGGTCCCGATCATCTGATGACGGATGCCCTGGGCAGCATTTTCTCAGTCACCTCCTTGCAGCATCAGAGCGGGTGTCAAGCAATAACCTCCAGACGTGAGGACCTTTGGGGGGATGTATCTGGAGCACTATTGGTAGGAACCCCGGGGGAATTCGTTAACCGCGTGAATTATGGAGGTGGTTACATTGCCTCTCTTCAAGGAAAGGGCTGGGACATCTTCACCCTTCATCCATGAACGCCCTCACTCATACCCTCTCTTGGTGCCTTCCAAAAGCTTAGAGGTGCTCCCTAAACAGCGTTAATTAGATTGAATCGGATCACAGGATCCTCGGTGAAGAAGTCTCAGAGCATCCCTGAGGCAGAAGTGAGGACCCGAACGCCTAGTGCTGTGGGTTCGCAAGACAGGCAGGCGAGCAGAAGCTCCCCAAAGAAGGGGCTTCAGACTCCAAAGCTAAAACCATCTGCTCTGTGGGAATTTAAGGACTGCTCTTCTCCCTCTCTGTTTTTTTGTTTCAAATATTTTTTTTGAAGTCTGTGCGATTTGAACGATGGGCTACAAAATGTTTAAGACAGATCATTTTCTAAATTAGAGGTTTTTCACCCAAGAAATTTCTGCTGTCAGCAAACACTAGAAAGATCTATACTCAACAGTAGGTGTGTGTAACCGAACTACACACAGAGATATGAATGCTAGTAAAGGCAGACGTGAGAGCAGTTGCTGTCTGACTTTGACTATGCAGACACAATTTTTTAGATTTCTCTGCCTTTCTTTTGCCCAGACTAAAATTAGGAGGTTGAGCAAAGGTTATCTCAAATCTCTTCCATCTTTCACAGTTTGCAATTCCTCTCACACACACATTATATAAGACAGAGCTAGGGACATTTCCAGGGAGAAAGTACTACACACACACACACACACACACACACTTGTATTTCCCTAGCATCTTTCTAGTGCTCTCTTCATACCCAGGCTACTCGGCGAAGGCTAGTCTCTCTGCCTTGCTGAGATGGGGTACCCCTCTTCAGAAGGGACCTTCAGCTGCTTTTATGGCCAGATCCACAAACATCTAGATTGAAAGCAACAGCCTTGAATTCCTGGATCCCCTTCCTCAGCTGCCATACCTTCCCAAACCATTTCTACCATGTCACCCTCCCACTTTTAAATATTCCTCGTAGAATACCACCCTGGGGTAAAGTTGCCGCTGTCCTCGTGGTAGCTGATCTTCCAAGGCCAGGAGCGCATGGTGGAAGACTTGCCCACTTCCTCTTCACAGTGTCATCACAGTGCTGGCACATCATTCAGAGCTGGCTTATGTGCAAACCTCATCTGCTTTCTGCTCTCTCTACTCTAATCCTTGCACGCTGGAGCCTTCTGTTTCCTCTTCTGTCTCCAATATCCACCTTGTTGTCTTCTTCACCTTCATCAGATCTTGATTTACGTATCTGTCTCGTTGGAAAGCCTCCATTGATGATCCTTCCAAAATGTGTTGAGTGCACATCAACAAATTCCCATCATGTTAAACTTGGACCACAGTAACTGTTTCTTGTCAGTCTCCAAGTGTGTGTCAGGCTATATTCTATCTCATATTAGTAAACAAGTCATACATTGTATGATAGGCATGCATATCATAAGCTATCATTGACCCTCAAGAAAGAGGTATATTTGATTTTGAACATACAAAATATGCTCGAATCGACTTTCTATTTAAAAAAACACAAGTTTGAACTATAGAATAATTTGCTAATTGGTGGCATTGGTGGGTAGGTATATTGGGAAAATTCACTAACATCTATCAATATATGAAATGTATTACCTGAGCTGGGTGTGGTGGCTCACACCTGTAATCCCAGCACTTACTAGGAGGATTTCTGAAAGTTCTAGGTTAGTCTGCTTTAGTAGCAGGTTCCAGGCAGCCAGACTTACATACCAAGACTATTCCTACAAAAACAAAAACAAGAAATAAAAGCATTTCCTAACTAACCCAACAACCTGCTTCTAGAAAACTTTCCTCTGGTGTATTTGTAGGGATTCTTGTAATATTCAAGAGTGGAAACAGCCTGGTAATTCTTCTACATTAGCATTAATATATGACTAATTACCTATGAGGAATGAAATTCTCTGGAGCCATTTGGAGAAATAAGGGAAATTATATTATTATAAAATGATCTCAAAAATAATAATGTCAACTATAAAAGAAAATAAGGGTTAATTAAAATGTTCAGTATGTTACCACTAATGGAAAAACTAAGCTATACATGCATATATACACAAATGTAGGTACTCCTGCTTGGAGAGTGATTAGGGAGATACACTGAAGTGAGCATACATAGGAAAAAGAGGAAGATATAAAGCAGAGCAGTGGGGCTCAAGCAAAGTTGAGCAGTTCAAGCTAGAATCTTAAGACTTCACATAATTCAATCAATATGTACTAACAGGAGACAGTCTGTCTCCCAAGCTAATAGAAAAGCCAGCCCAAGCTATCAGGGTGCACATTTGCATATTTAAAGTGTTTCAGTGGGCTGCTGAACAAAAGAAAATGAAGTTTTAAACCATGGTCTGTGCATATGTACCCTAAATTAAGACAGAGAGACATCTGGGAGGCACAGTCAACTGAAGCATAATTTTGCGGATTTCTCTGTGGAAGCATCTTTTGAGAAGTCGCTGGAAAGGTCAGTTGTACTTTTAGACTACTTATTTTCCCTGATATTGTGTTAAACAGATGACATTGTGCATTCAGTTTCCTGTTTTCATCCTTATTTACTGAGAGGTGGAATTCCTCAACATGGACCAAAAGCATTCCAATCATTGAAAAGGACACTCTGAAAACGTGTATTATTCTGAGTGATATAATTTTATAGAGAAGATGAGCATCGCTGGGTATGTGAAAACATTGGTTTCTGTATCCCAGACGAACTGTAATCCTGTCACTGGACCTCACCCCATGGCAGAAGCTCCATAATACATCTTCCTATTAATCATTGTTCTTCAACGGAAGCAACTAACATCCAAATCTTACTGAAGTTGGTCCTCCAAGTTTAAAGCTTGCTTTTACATTATTTTACATTTATTTATTTACTTACTTCTTTATTCAATGTGTGTGTGTGTGTGTGTGTGCGTGTGTGTGTGTGTGTGCCACAGGGGGAACCATTCTCTCCTTCCACCTTGTGGGTTCCAGGCTCCTGACTAGGCTGTCAGAGTTGGCAGCAATCTCCTAAGCTGTCTCACTGGCTTCCTTTATAAAGGTGGGTTTTCAGGCACAGATTTCTTTTTCAAGAAGAAAATGTTAAGTGTATATTTTATTTTAAGTTACTTGGGAAGGTGCTGGGACTAGAGACTTACCAGCCTATAAAACTGCAAGGCAGATGACAGTGAAACCATTATGCCTGAAATAAGTAAGCAGGAATTTTCACTTAGTAACACAGGGTCATGTTTTATAGAAAGCAGTCCCACAAACGTACATATATTGAAGGTCTTGGTTACTTATAGATAAAAAAGAGTAACAGAGCTTTTTAAAAATGTGTATGTGTGAGAGAGACAGAAGGAAAGCGTGAGATGGGGGAGGTTACTATTAACTAAATACCTAAGGCAGGCAAGGGTGAAGAGCAAGGAAAGTGAGGAGGAGGGAGAGAAGGGAGGAAAGAGGGGAAAAGAGGGGGAGAAGGGAGAAGGAGTCATGTGTGTCATATTCCACAAAATGATACCTGAGGTCTTCACAGAGTCTGTAAAGCTGTGCAGGTCTCACTGACATTTCTCCTCTTCTACTCAGCACCCAGGCCACCTATCCCTCACCCAAGCTGAGCCTACTCACACTTCTGGACCCTACACTGGATTGACCTCTACAGGAGAAAACCACAAACCTTCACATCGCTCCACCAACGCATCATGGTAATTATTTCTCCTGACATCTTTAGACCAATATTCATAAAGAACGTAATGCATGTTATTCTGTAGCTGAGTAATAACAGTTTAACACGTTTCTGTGCCTTAACTTTGGTAGCTGCTTTAAAAATAATACACATTAATTTAAACAAAATATTGTGTATGTTTTCTTTTTTAAATATTTGTGATTTTTTTCTTATTTTATGTATGTGGGTGTTTTGCCTGCAAGTACGTGTGTTCATCACGTGTGTGCAATGCCAGAGAGCACCAGAAGAGGGCGCTGGATCCCCTGGAACTGGAGTTATAAATGTTTGTGAGCCACCACGTGAGTTTTGGGAACCGAACCTGGGACCCCTAAAAGAGCAGTCAATGCTCTTAAATCCTGAGCCATCTCTCCAGTCCTTGCATTTCTTTTGAAGCAGCAGGCTTACTGATTCTTGGGAAAGTAGAAGAGCAAACACAACTTCTTAAACCCAGGAATCACTAGCAACTACCACCGTCATTTACTGTTCCACGTTGATTTTTTTTCTCATTGTCTTTTTCTCTGAGCAGCCAGCCCAACTGTAGCATAGAAACTTCAAATACCTTGAGCTGCTAGTATGCAAACTAAGTGTCAGGGTATTCTACGCTCAAAACTCAAATGCATACTGCACTGTGCTTGTAAATTCACCAGAGACTTAAGCATCTCTGCGCACATCTCAGGAACCCCAGTAGT